TGCCTCTTGCCTCTCTCTCTCTTCTCCGAGAATGGGGCGAGGGAGCGCGGGGGCAAGCCACTGGGGATCTCAGCCGAAAGCTGCATTGCCTGGCTCGATACTCAGCCACTTCCCTCGGTCCTGTACGTTTCATTTGGGTCGCAGAACGCAGTTTCGGGTGGAACCTGAAGGAGCTGGTAATGGGGCTGCAGTCGAGTGGTGCAAGATTCATCTTGGTGGTCAGACTGCCCTTGGAGTCCCCCATAACCGCTGAGTTCAGATCAGAGTGGCTTCCGGAGGGGTTCGAGGAGGGGGTGAAAGATCGCGGCCTGATCATCACGGGGTGGGCGCCGCAACTGATGATCCTTTCGCACAAGGCAACCGGTGCTTTCCTGAGCCACTGCGGGTGGAACTCGGTATTGGAGAGCCTAAGCCAAGGAGTTCCTCTCATTGGATGGCCCATGGGGGCTGAGCAATTCTTGAACTCCACCATGTTGGGGGATGAAAAAGTTGGGGTTTGTGTGGAGGTGTGGAGAGAGAAGGTGGCGAGAGTGGTGGCGGCGGTGGTGAAAGGGGAGAAGGGGTCGGAGATGAGGAGAAAGGCCGGTGAGATGAGAGAGGCACTCAGGAAAGGGATGGCGGAGGAGGAGAGCCCTGGTGGTTCTTCTCTTAGAGCTATGGATGAATTCGTTGCATCAATTGTGAGCCCGCATGTGTAAAGTGTGTCGTGAGTCGTGACCTTTTTATTTTTGCCGCACATTGAGCTGCACTGATATGCCTTTGTTATGAGGTCCCCATCTTCGGACTGCTCTTTCTTTCTTATTTTTTGAGAAAAATAGCAATTAGAGGTCCCTAATCTTGGACTATGCCTTATTTATTATTTTTTTTAAAAAAACAACAGTCCGAGGATGGGGACCTTGGACTGCACTCTGAACTTAGTATAACTCAATTCTAGGGTGGTCTGATGTTCCCATCCTCGGATCGCTTTCTAATTGTTATTTTTGGAAAAAAATAGGGGTCAAAGGATGGGCACCTCATACCACTCTATTGGGGTTTCGCCATATTTAGAAGGCACTCTGAGGATTTTAACCTTGGACTGCCTAAAGCTTGGAGCACAGCCCTACTAAATAAAAGACTAAAAAAAAGTAAAAATTAAAATGTGATATGAGGTTGGAATCATTAAATCAAAGAAAAAGTTTATATAAGGATGCAAACCTTATAATGTAGAACTACGGATGCACCTAAAAAATCCATCGAAAAAGGTAGTTTTAATGTTAAAAACCCTTCGATTGATCATCTCGACATCGAGATGTATGACCATGAAAAATAAATTTTTTTAGTAGAAATAGTACATTTTACAACATATTATCTATACCATCCATTTTCAAGATTTTCATATGTTTATAGATCTACTTGATTTTAACTATGTTTGAAATTTAAAATTTTATAATTTGATTTAAATATAGATTTTGAGATAATCCTAAAAACATTTTACATCACAATTACGTACCAAGATAAAATTTGAAGGTTCTCCTTACCTCTACAGCTACATATGCATCCGTATGCCAACTCCACCCTTAGATCAAAGATGAAATTTGAAATTAATTCTTTACAGCATGTTTCTTCAAAGAGTAATGATCATATAGGACCCTCTCCCACACATGTATGTAGGATCCCAAATGATCACCATTAAAGTTGGCGCAGATCTCTACCAAAGTTATCACATGGGTGTGAGACTTGATTTTTTTATAGATCCGTACCAAATTTAATGGTGATGCTTTGGGGTCCTACGCAT